AAGTACTCTAAACTGTATAAATAATGTAAAATTAAATTGAATTTATTAGCCAATCAGACGAACTTCTGTCTATGAACTCTACGTTGTACGTTGTACAAACTCCGTTCCTGGTATATAAATTAGAGGCTGGAATCGGTTGTAAATTAAACCCGAATTCGATTAAATACGATTATGAAAAAAAATAGATTTATGCTAAACCGGATTGGCTTAAACCGAATTTAATTCGAATCGCCGGATAAATATTTAGCCGAAACGAAAAACATGAAATTACTTTTTTGTTTATTTATCTTATTTTATTTTTATTTTTAGATGTAACAGTAGAGAAATTTTATAATTATATAAGCATTAAAATTTTTATTATATGTAATATTTCAATATTTTAAAAGTAAACAGCAAAAAACATATGGCAAATAGTTATTAGAAAGTAATTATAATAGAAATGTTTCAACATACTATTTTTTTTTAAGAACAAAAATTTGGTTACTAATTCTAATGCTAGTTATGTTCTTTTGAGGAGATAAGATTTTCAGTATCAGAAAATACTCTTTTTGATAGAATTGAAAATGCTGAAATAGAAAGATTTTTCATAACTAATTAAATAAGAATTAGGAATTTAGTCTTATACAATTTTATTATTTTATTGTAATATTATAATGTTTAATACTAGTCAAATTTAGATAATGTGTTGCTTCATCCAATTCAATTAATTCTAATACTTGGTAAGATGTAAGTTTCAATTGATTAAAAAATTTGGTATTATCATTATTATTATAAATTAATAAATTGCTTATTGTTTTATCTAATAAATTATTTAAATTTAACAATTTAAAAATTATTTTTTTTTTAATTTTTTTTTAATATTAATAGTAAGGTTATGCTTCTATCTTTATTGAATATTTAATTAAGATTTTGTATAGAATATAATTCTGTTTTTAAAATATTATAGAAATAATAGAAGCTTAGACTAATTTATCTGCAACCTAAACCAACAGAAATGGCCAAGACTTACTTTTTTTTTTTTTTTTTGGAGTTAAGGTGAGGTTTTGCTTATATCTTTATTAATTTGTTAAAGATGCTGTTGTAGTGAGAAAGAGCCTTTCTTATATGTTGCCAGTCTTAGCACAGTACTACAAGCATAAGCAGGACCTTACTTAGCCTTGTCCTGACAGGACTAGTCCAGAGGTTAGTCCCAATTACTAGATTGTTGATAGGTTGCTACACATTACGTGCTTATCACTAACAGGTTGTCATCTAAGGATCGATTACTAGGCTATGCTAGACAAGACTATCGCTTATTACTTTAGGTATGCTATTAGGGTCTTAGTTTATGCTGTATTATTTATTAACTTGACGAAAATTAATCTTTATTTATTGGGCATACATCCTATTTATACAAATTTTTGAGGTTGGGTCTCAAACCTGCTGCTGAAGTTTCGAACCTGTACCTGGGGGTTAGAAACCCTAGATTAGGATCTTGAACCTGATATTGAAGTTTAGAATCCTATTACTACATTATGCTAACTATGAACTACGCAATGCAGGGTTTCGCACCTTATTCTGAGGTTTTAAACCCTAATACTATGCTATACTAACTTGTTTGTGCAAACTATTTATAAGGGTTTTAAATTCTATTACTATGCTATACTAATACATATAAACAGATAACAAAAAAGAATGCAAAGAAAGGCAAAAAAATTTCATAACATCTCCTCCTGCTCAAAAATTGAGCTCCTGCGAACTTACCACCATTTTTTGAATTTTCTCTTCTCTCAACCTTCCTGCTTCTACCAACACTGCCCCAGAAAAATCTTCCTCAAACATTCATTTCAACATCAAAATTGATATATGCTGAACTTGACACAAACACCACTCACCCCACACAGCAAACAACATATACACTCGCTTTGCAATTTTCCACACTAAGCCCATCTTGGGGGTCAGAAGTTGCTCGGCCAGCTCCCTTCATGCTTCGTCACCCCAACCCTTTTCAAACAGCAAGCTTCCTACTTTATAGTAGGTCTCCAATACTTTGGCTGTTGATTGGGTCCTTGGATTCAGGTCTTCAATGTCACTACATCATTACTTAGTTTTTTACTTCAGGCTTCTTCAGCGGCTTTGATAGGCATTGCAAGTTTGGTCCCTATTGGGTGGTCCAAGTCTTGAAGATACAGAGCCAAATGGTTGTAGATTTGCTGGGCCTTGGTCCTTCTTTCCATTCATCCAAACCCTTTGTGAATCTCTTAGTCCTGGTATCGAAAAATCACTTTCTCCTCCTTAACCACCAGTTCTTCGTTAGGTTCCATCCAGTCCACAAGTTGTTGGATTGTTTTCCTTAAAGTTTCGAAATGTCGTTTTATTCCCCTCTTTTTTTAATTTTTTTTTTTTCATATATATATAAAATTTTTTTTTTTTAATATAATTTTACAATTACCTCATTCTGTCATCATTTCATACTTTATAGCATTTTAATTGACTACCGTGCACTGCCCCCTTTATTACCCTTTCATCATTTCTTATTGTACATAATTGGTACATACATTACCTATTATATTATATACCCAGTACAGTTCTGACCACTTTTTCTCTAACTTACTGCCTAATTGTTTTCCCAGCTTGGCCCGGTACCTTAACACCTTATCTCTGATCCTGAAACTTTGCAAGAAGTATTGTTGGTCATGGCTCCACTTCTGCTTTTGTTGGGCCTTGCGAATGTTCCACGTGCCTTGATCCAAACTTCAAACAATTTATTTGCCAATTTTAAGGTTCAGACTAAAACCATGGACTTATAGTAGTCATCATCCATTGGATCCACAGGATAAGTTTCCAGCAGTAATTCTACAGGCAACACAGCCTTTCTTTCATACATCAGGTAAAAGAGGTCATATTTGGTCATACCATGCTTGGTCGTCCTGCAAGCAAATAAAGCAGGACTCACATATTCATTCCAGTCCCCTTAGTACTGATTTATACACTTTGCTAGCATCCCACAGATGGTTCGATTGAACTGTTCAACAAGACTATTGGTCTGGGAGTGATACGTGGATGAGAATTTGTGCTTAATATTGGCTCTGTTACAGGCCTCCTTTATAACCTGGTTTTTAAAATAGGTTCCTTGATCTATCAAAATCTGTCGGGAACAGCCATATCAGCTAACTATTTCTTCCATTACAAAGGCAGCAACAGACTCCACTGTGCAGTCAGGTAATGCTCGAACCTCGGGCCATTTCATTAAATACTCTATTGCTACTACCAGATAACTGTTACCATTTTTGTGAGAGGCAAGGGCCATACTATATCTATTTCCACTCAGTCAAAAGGTTGTGCCACCTGTATCAGATGTAACGCCTTTCATGTTTTTGATTTCCCATGGCATTGACAGGTGTCACAACCTCTGACCTGATTGACTCCTTCTTTTCTACAGCTACTAATACCAATTCTGTTTCTAATCAACCTCCAATTCTTACTACTCTTGACAACTCTAACCCAAGTTCCAACAATCTCAACAAGTCCAAT